TGTCATAACATTTATTGTCCATGATAAATACGAACAAGCTGATCCAAGAAAACAAAATGGCGAACAAGGGAATATTTTCAGTTCGATTCAGGCTTTTAAAATTCGTTTGTATCTCTTTTCATTATAATTGGCTTATTTTTTTATGACTGTTATGCTCAGATTACTTATATCTAACATTATTCTTATTAATTGTTACCAATGTTTTTGTAGAATGTTTTTAACGCACGTTTCATTGTTTTTTTTTAGGCCTGTGGCCTGTGACTACTCACTCTGTGAGTGCTCTAAGCAGTAAGCTAGAGCTATAAGACAAGTTTCTAGATCTAGATCTAGATTATCTAGACTAGATAGATTTATATCGAGAATCTAGATTGTAGTACTAGATTCTAGGAGGAGTACTCTAGAGATCTATTCTAGATCTAGAATCTATTATTATCTAGATCTAGTAGAGAATCTAGTAGTAGATCTAGCTAATCTAGATTCTAGATCTAGAATCTAGTCTAGCTAGATTCTAGATCTCTAGATCTAGTATACTAGATCTATACTATATACTTCTATACTATATACTATATAGACATCTAGGATCTAGATCTAGTCTAGTAGTAGATCTAGGATGTTACGGCTTTTTTATATTTTAATATGTTTAATTATTTATTAAATATAAAAATACCAGATCTTGATCTATTTTAATTTATATACTTAATACTCAATAATATTAATACTAATACTATACTAACTAGATTAGATCTATACTATAGATCTTATAGTTAGTTAAGTAACTTTATATTGTACGTCAGTAGATCTATTAAGTATAAGTCTAGAGTAGAGATCTACTCTAGGCTAGATCTAGAAGTTATATATTTTATAAAAATCTATATTAAATAATTCAAGTATTTTAAGTTAATAGTAATAATAGATAAGTTAAATAAATTAGGCCCATAGTTTATATTATAAATGTGTAGCTGGTATAGACTAGTTTTAGAGACTAGTCATATATTAAATAGTTAATCTTAGTCCTTGGTAATTAGTAGGGCACTACACATACACCTAGTCTAATAAATGATTAGTCTAATAAGTTAAAGCCTACTTGTTAAAATATATTTACTATAGTAGTAGTATTAGTAAGTATAGTTACTCTATACAGTTACTAGGTATATTATAATACACACAACCTCATAATTGCAAAATCATGACATTAGTGAATCAATTATTTAGTAGGCCAATAATTTCTATATTAATTTAATTTTAATAGTTAATACTTACTAAATTACTAGATCTGTACAAAATACATTTTATTTAAGATAATTTAGGCTATGGTACAGACGACAGTCCTAATACTTCAATTACATTGTTATTATGATTAGGACCTAGTTAAAGGTAATTACTAATTAGACTTATGATGACTTATGTTAGTCTAATAACTAATAATAGATTCATATTTAATAGCAGTAGGTCTATAGGCTTAAAATAGTATTGTAAAAGAAATAAAGTATGCTTAATTTTTACAGTTGTCATATTACTTTTAGTTTCAGTAGGCCTATCTAGACTGTAGATTTACATGTAGTAGCTTAGTAGTAGTCTAGTAGGCCTGTGATAGGGTAGGTATTTAGTATTAGTATGTAAGTTAAACAAAGTTAACTAGGCTTAATAAGGCTACAATTTTAGACTGTAAAAATTACATGTAGCCTAAATAAAAGGTTACAGACTAGTACATTAAATAATATCCAAAATTTAAGTTCAATCTAGATTAGTATGCTAACAGTAATTTTAGGCCTCTAATAATAATAGTAAAAATTACTGAATAGAAGAGTAGGCTTACTAGTAAATAGCTGTCTTATTTTAGTTCTACTTAATTAACTTAATATATGACTTAGTCTACTCGTAGTTTTATGTAGTGATCTTTAGAACTTAAAATGCAGAATAGTTGATAAAGCCAAAAGGTGTCACTTGTCATAGATGTATTAACTTACTAATCAAATTAATTTAATTATCCTAATATTTATTTTAGTATGTGCATGAATTAATGATAGTTATAGTAGCCTAGTTTGAATATCAATTTTCAACTAATTCCTGAGGTGGCTAAACATAAGTAGTATATCTTTATTGATACCTTTTTCTTTTTTTTAAAATGATATATACATGACTTTTGGACTCTTTTGAAGGCCTATTGTATTTAATGACAAACTCCTTACATTAAAATATTAAAAGTAAACTTTTAGACCAATATTTTTAATGAATGGTAATGGTTAGATAGCCCATACAATCCAATACATAAATACACATCATTGCTTTATGATCTTTATAAGACGGACAAATATTTTTATTTATAACATTAAGAGTTGAAAGTATGTAAACATAATGAGTTTAATATAACAGTTTATGAAATTTATTTATGTTTTTTTAGATACTGTGGATTATACAACTGCAAACAGAGACGACAATAGTCAAGATGAAGCTCAATTTAAAAACTGATCCAAGGATACATGTTGGACCCAAGAAAACTTGTTCATATTGAACAACTATTTTTTATTATGTTAGTTCTGAATGAATATGGTAATTAAAAAAAGAAAATCATAAACTTTGTTATGTTTATTTTTTTTTCAGCACTGGTTGTGTGTGCTGGTGTAAGCGGAAACTAATTATTGCTACCTTAATTCAACAAATAACTTAAACTGGTGAACTATAAATAGTTTTTAAGAATATGGGGCTGAAGTAGATTTCACCTAGTTTTGTTGCCTCTCCATATAAATAAATTTTATGGTCAGCAAAATGTCAAACAGCTTTTACTAAGTTTTACTGTCTATAACCAGTCAGGTACCAGTTAAGGTTAAAGCTGCTTTGAATTTGAATCAGAGACAACCTAAAGGATTAAAATTTCAACTCAAGAACTTTTGCTTTAGCAAATGTGTTCACAAATATGTAGTCCCACTCTAAGCCTTACATTTGCATATATATATATATCATAGATGTAAAACTTAATGATAAGGGAAGAATCAAGAATATGGGTTTTTGTCAATTCTAGCCATACCAGCATATAAATGTAGACCAGGCTTAGTGAAGCATGGCTGATAACTAACCATCAACCACAAATACAGCAAACTATAATCACTGCTTGTTTCCTGGTAATGTGTTGTTATTGGCCGTGCAAGTTTATGAACATGTTATATATTACAAAAGAAAAAGACTTGCTGATCAGATGCATTCCAGATATTTGAGGAAAAGATGTTTTCTTTAAGGATAGGCAGCTATAGCAAATGAGCTTAGGGGAAATGTTGAGTTAAGATAAACTATTTAATAATTGTAATGACAGAGATACCATCACAGCAACAAATGTAATTGGGTTTGTATGACTAATTAATGAATATCCTATAAATAGTAGCAAAATGCTGTAGTGGTCGCCCATCAGACTTTGAGGTGGTGGGGGAGATTTGGACCTTTGTGTCAAGGGCGGGAGGGGGTTCAGAAAGTAAGATGACACTTTTCAATGTTCAACAAACACTCATGTTAAGAAACTGAATCTAAGCCTTTATTTGCATTATTAAAAGTTTTTTTATAAATTGTTATAAAATAATTAATCAATAGGCCTACATTGAATGTTGGAAAAGCCCATAGGTCTAAATATTTTATGAAAATCGCTGCAATAGCGGGGGGGGGGGGGGGGGGGGGGGGGGAGGGGGCTTAGGTTTACTTTTTTGGGGAAGGGGGGTGTCTGGCATCGTTGTGACATCGTTAATAGATGACCCCATAGTCAGAGGTCGATCTAGATTGATTAGGCCTATATTAAACTGTTGATATTAATTACGCTTTACTTATTATTACAATGGAATATAGCCTAGTAGTTTATTTATATTAAATAATATAACATCCCCTTTCACCACAACACCCTGACTATACTAATCCAAATAAAAATTAAAATGTTTTGTAAATTACTATTATATTATTAGTAATTTTGTGTTAAAACATTTTTAGCTTTAGTAAAACCGGAAGTGACTTTGTACTTATTTCACAAATATTTTAAAATATTCAATTTTGGTTCAAAAATATGCTTTCTGGCAACACAAAGTGGAACCACTTTTGGAACCACTTTTCCAGTCTATTGTGTACACCGGCCCTTGGTAATGAAATGTTATTAAAAATTTAAAACCAGAAATTAAAAAAAAAAAAATTAATTAAATTATTAATGTAATGCATGAATACAAAATCATAACAATCAGAGACAATGGCTATGTTAGGATAATATCTTTGGCTAGGAAGCTGATAGATACAGTTGTGTTGACAGAAATATTTTCGTTTGTTTTGTGTTGAATGTTTTCTACACTTGGTGTGGTTGGGTGTATGTGTGGACAGGGGCGAAGGGTTGGGGCAGGGGGGGGTAGTTAGCGCCTGATTGGTGTGAGTGTGTGTGGGAGTGTGTACGTGTGAGTGTGTGCGTGTGTGTGTGTGTGTGAAATATGTCGTTTATGAGGGGGATCGGATTCAAGGCTGTGGTTGGCAGAAATATTTATAGTTGAGTTTTCAGGATTGTGTGTGATTGTAATGTTTTGGATACTAGAATGGTGTTGTTAAGATAGTTTTGAGGATGGTGTGTGATTGTGAGATGCTGTCATAATTGGGCTGAGAATTGTGTTATTAGAATGTTGTTGTTGAGATAGGGGAGTAAGGAGGTGTGGGTTTTGGAGAGAGAGATGTAAATTGAGGAGTGAGATCAAGGATGTGATATCATAAGAGTAGGGTGTCAAATTTGACAAAATTTGACTGAGTGGGGCGTCAAATAAAGGTTATGGGCAGAGTGGGGGTGTCTTGTATGAGTTATGGACAGAGTAAAGTGTCAAGTATAGAGTATGAGAAGAGTGGGATGTATAAATTATTGGCTGAGTAGGGTGTCAAGTATGTATTATGAAAAGAGTGTGATGTCAAGTATGGGTTATGAGAAGAGTGGGGTGTTTAAGTATTGTGGCAAGCGATGACCCCCACTAATTGAATCTCTCCGCCATTGTTTTCAGTCGCTGGTTCTAGAATCGAACTGTCCACGACGCCAGAGAAAGTAGTGCAGGGACTGACGAGCTCGGTATCCTTGCGCTGCTCCCTGCTCGATACAACAGATGTGACCTCAGCACCGGAAATAGAACTGGAGAGCGACAAAGGTGAGGGTCGCTGTAACCAGGTCACTGATACGGTAGAGAATATCCAAAATGTTATTTCCGTGACCTTGTCCAAAGTCGGGATGACCTTGACACCTTTAGCTACGGTGAGCGTCTTCTCACCACCAGTCTCAGCATCCACAGGTAACTTGACCGTGACAGGTCACGTGAAAGGTGAGCCGGGGAAAGCACGCGCTACTCTCGAGGTCACGTGGGATCGCGTGACCCTTCAGGAGCACGGGGTCTACGCCTGCGAGATCCACGCGCTGACGTCTGCGGGACGTCTGCTCACGTTCGCCAGTCGTCTGGAGCTTGACGTCGTCAGCCCGACGGTGTCGGAGCTCCTGGAACGTCTAGAGCACGTGCAGGCAGAGGTCAAGGTCAGTAGAGCCATGACGGAGCAGGCGCTGAACGCCACGAAGGAGATGAAACAGCGCGTGCGAAAACTTGAAAGCTCAGAGCAGGCATCCTTGTCCGAGCTGAAAGAAACCAAGGCCAAGGTCGCGGAAATTCAAAGAAATATACATGACCTTGACCTTGCCAGACAGGAATTACAAAACGGCGTGAGCGACCTGAACGCGACGGTGACCTTGGGCAGAGGTCACGTGGAGCAGGGTTTGGTCCGCTGCGGCCACAGCATCCACGACTGGGTCAAGGACAATTCGGGCGGGAAGTTCAGCCTTCACCCCGTGACCTTCAGCCAGTCCTACCCGGTCCCGCCCGCCGTGATGATCGCCCCTGTCCAGTTCTGGATCGGCAACTACCAGGCGATCACGTTCGGCCTTGAGACCCTCAATGTCACGGCCACGGGCTTCGTTCTCCGCTGTTACATGGTCAACCAAGTGACGGACATTGATCACCTCAATGTCCGCTGGTTAAGTACTGCCCTCTAGTCAATCTGATGGACTTATGGTCAACTGCTTCATGGACATTGGTCATCTCAATGTCCGCTGGTTAAGTACTGCCCTCTAGTCAATCTGATGGACTTATGGTCAACTGCATCAAGGACTTTGGTCATCTCAATGCCCTTGAGTAAATGTATTGAATTGATTTAAACACTTGCTTGCAATAAATGTAATCCTAAAATATTTTTGTTCATGACCAAATCCATATTTGCTGGATCTTGTGCAGTTAATATCCCATAGTTTCAGCTACTTTTTGTTCTCAAAACATTCTTGAGCAGATTCAGCTTTGATTCGTACCTAGCATAAGTTGGCAGATTTGCTTAGCAATTCCCAGCAATGCTGTAGCAGTGAGGCTCATCACCCTCTTGTACCTGTACAGGTGTAGCAACTATGTCCAGATGTTTAAAAAATATGTGTAAAGAGATCTACTATCGTGGTCAATATAAAGCCTACCTGTCAGGTACCGATTGGAACTGGGTTGAATCTTGGAAATTCCTGGAACCGAACCCGAGACTTTCAGATAACAAGTGTTGCGGATTTTATATTTGACGTTCTATTCTGCCCAGTACACAGAGACTACAAGGACTATGCCCGTATACTTTGTCCTTTACAAGACACTAACTAGCCGCATCCCCCATCCCTGTACGGACTTGGTCAAGTTCTCAATATCGTCAGATTTTTAGTTCCGTCTCCTATACCCCATAGATCAGCATACTCATCAATGAGACAGCAAATTTGTTTAGTATAAAGTCAACAAGAAAATGAGAATATTCCTTTTTATAGTGTACAATTTTTTAAAGGGAAACAACAAATAGCACAATTATTCACCAGTTTTGTGTGGTTCCTTCCCTCTATCTACAACAATTTTTTTCTTTTTTTTTTTCTTTATGAATTAACATAATAGGAAACAATCTGTTTCATTACGATTTCAGGTAAAATATTTCAACAATTTTGTCAAAAAGTGTCGGTCTAATAGTTGAACTTTATGTCGGTTGAAAAAAAAATTAAACAATTTTGAAAAAATTGTTTAAAACATGATTTTTTTAATCAAAGGGAAATAAATGCATAAATTGTGAAAAGTCGTCGGGTTACCTTACCTGCCATATTGCTTAACGGATCTATAGTGACAAACAGTAGAGTAACATGGAGTTGGAATTCAGGACTCGAGTCATGGGTAGCTTGAGAATTGGTTAGTGTCAAAAAAGAGCTGACATTTTTATTTTATTTAATCAAGTACATGAGAAGATGGGACGGAAACATTTCCCAGATTATGTTCTAATGAAGTAGTAAAAAAAATATTTTAAAATTCAATCGAATATATATATATATATATATATATATATATATATATATATATATATATATATATATATATATATATATATATATATATATATATATATAAATATATAAATATATATATATATATATATGTGTGTATATATACATATAAATGTATATATATATATATATATATATATATATATATATATATATATGTGTGTGTATATATACATATAAATGTATATATATATATATATATATATATATATATATATATATTTATACATATACATACATATAAAAACATCTCACAAGTCCATTTTAATACATTCCAGTCACCTTTTAAACTCTAGTCTAAAATAGAAACTTTTAATACCCCATCCATCAACCTGATTTATTTCTGAACCATACATTGATCCACTTACAGACCATGGATGATATCCAGAGTTTCGTAAAAAATACATTTGAGTGACATACGACCACCGTGACGTAGCAGAATATATTTTGTATGTTCTAAGCCCCGCAGCGGGGAGCGCAGTTCTCCGTCTCGCTTGACTGACCTCTGCTGGTGTAATACAAAACCGTCATTTCTATTATCACCCGGCATTTGCAGTTTTTTGCCTGTAGACATTTGGATGTCTTAACAAAGTATTTATCACCGGTTCTCAAAATAAACTGCGCCTGGTGAAATTTTATGGGCATTATAAAATTTAAAATTATTTATTATTTAATTATTTATTTATTTTTGGGGTGAATAAATATCAATTTAAAAAGACGTAAGAATATCAGATATCGTGTGATAACTAATAACCCAAAGGTCTTTTGATCACATCCTCAAGTTAAGCTACCTGTGGCTCATAACTTACTTGAGCAGGCTCAGCTCAAGTAAGTACCTGGCGTTTTTAACCTAAAGTAGAAACCCCTGGTCATAGTACTAGAAACAGGTTAAACACAGACCGTTAGCTTACATTATAGATGCATTATGAAGTGGGGGTGGACACAGTAATATGAGAACCATTGCGTTACTGAAACGACACATCACCTCACAAGATGACATAGATGCAGCACAAACGATCCTAAGCTAGAAAGAACAGGAAATATCACATGTCATGTTCTCACCGTACCATCAAGTTCTGTGTGTGGGAGAGATGTATCACATGTCATGTTCTCACCGTACCATCAAGTTCTGTGTGTGGGAGAAATGTATCGCGGTAATCCCCACCCCTAACCTTCCCCTCCCCGCCGTAATTCGGCTGATAGTATCTTCATTAAGCGTCTTAAATTCTTTAAGAATGGTTTTTAATCTTTATAAAACGTAACACGTACATTAATGGAAATGAAATATTATTATTCATGAGTTATAATCGTGAAAACCATGTTGTAGATGTTGGTAATGTTACTTTCAAGCTTTGGGTTAGGTTGAGGGTTAGGGTGTGGTGGTGGTGGTGGTGGTGATGGTGGTACCGGGTTACGGTCAGGGTGGTACGTCTCATAATGGTGGAGACATTTTCGAACTTGATGGGGCTAGTGAAGTAGAGTTTACCTGTTTCTGTGACGTCGGCAAATGAAGGGATAGTGTTGTCAGCACTATGCCCAGCGCCTTTCCCTAACTTGAGACTTTCAGTTATCAGACTAGCGCTCTACCCCTAGGCCACGCCGACCCTTTAGTAACACTCGTAGAGCGCACGACTGCTAACGATAGGTTTAAGTTTGGTTCCCAGACTATACTTCGCAACACGTCTATGAGTTCACCCAGCTCTAACGGGTACCTAGTTCAAGTTGGTAAAAGTTAAGGCAACTGGGCATAAACCTGAAAACGTATTCTTTCAAATACCGTTGTCACTAAAACAGACTTAATACTTAAAGAATTATTTGGGTAAAATATTCCGAGTTTATTATACAACGTCTTCTCACTTTTCGCTTTAAAAATGATCAAATTTGAAATGTTTACAGTACTAGAAAAGCGACACAGCACACATGAGCCGAGAGAATGCGTAAGATGAAATGATTTCAATTTTAACACGTTTTTATTAACTCAGCTTCGCGTGGATGTGTTTGTTGTTAAAATTGACATCGAAAATTAGCCCACTTCTGATTGTTCTATAGTTCTGAAATTTGGCATGCAGGTTACTTTCGCCTAACAATTTCAGATGCAATCATAAAAACTAGCAATTAGAGACCGTAATTAGCTTAATTTAATTACGCCCCAAGGACCATAAAATTGAGGACATGATTTCTAAAGATACCGACAAGACTGGAGGCCTATAGACACAGTTACTTCGGCCCCAATCGATGTGAGCGCGCTGGCCGTGATCGTATAGTGGTTAGTACTTCGCGTTGTGGCCGCGACAACCCAGGTTCGAATCCTGGTCGCTCAAGATTTTTTTAGTCCGTGTATTTATAAACACTTTTTTAAAAACCACGTTTTTCATGTGTAGCAACGGACTAAAAAGGAGAAAATAAAATACTTAAAAAAAAACTTTTTAAAAAACCACGTTTTTCTTGTGGACTAAAAAGTAGAAAATAACTATTTACATACATTTGATGACAAAAAACGTGGGTCGGGCAGATGGGTCGGGAAATTTGATGGTGAACGTACCCACGTTTTTTGTCATCAAATGTATGTAAATAGTTATTTTCTACTTTTTAGTCCACAAGAAAAACGTGGTTTTTTAAAAAGTTTTTTTTTAAGTATTTTATTTCCGCTTGTTGCGTGTTGATGGCCTAAAGATAACTGGCCAAAGAAACATTGGCCATAGAGAAAAAAATTCTCTGCGGGGTGCCCCCGTTCAGCGTGAAACAGGAGCCGTCTATTTATGCGACCTAAACAATTTTCTATTCAACCGTTGGTCTATTCTCTACTCCACGGCCGGTCTATTCTCTATCGAAAAGAACGTTAAAAGGCGCAAAGGGAAGATTAGCCTGTAGTTGTTCTTGAAGTAAAATGAATGTTAAAACGCGATGGATTGCTAGCGCGAAGGGAGATAAGTCGACCTAATGAAGCGTCGTCTTCAAAGTTAAATATTCGGTTATCTCCCGTCATTTGTTATTATTTTTATTTTTTTTCGTGTATGTAATATGATGTTTGTAATTTTTAACTTTTTTTGTGTGTGTGTGTGTGAACAAACAGGACAACACGATGAGTCAGTCAGTTCTGTACCCGTTACAGGAAACTGTCCTTGTTGACAGACAGCTGGTGTGGGGGCAAGACAAACAACACAACATCCGTCAACATGTTGGTACACGGCAATACAAGCTTTCCCCGGGGATTTGGTGAGTGGGAGGGGATTAAGATATAGTCTCATTGCGTGTCTGTGTCTCTTAGTATCTGTGCCTCTTTATATATATATATATATATATATATATATATATATATATATATATATATATATATATATATATATATATATGTATATATATAATAAATATTAATAAATACGTGTATAAGTAAAAACGGTGTTGTAAGATGTTAGTTACAACTAAACCGAGATTTAAATGTTGTTATAACTTCTCGCTTGTTGAATAGAAATACCACCGTCAAAAAAAAGGAAAACACAGCCAGGTAATATAAACCGAATGGGTACCCGTATCTGTACACTAGTTAACCAGACTACGCCCCCCCCCCCCCCACACCCCTCTACACACACCACGTGACCTCCAACAATTAACCCAATACAATCAAGATCCTCATCAAACCCCTTGCTCCCCCTCCTCCCCATTAACCGATAAATTTCCTACAATCCTCCAAATAACGGCAAGTGACGACGTCAAGTGATTTATTGTGTGGTATCGGCATTTCACCATTACAGCTATTGAGGGTAATCTTCATATTTAAAAACAAGGCATGAATGTAAATGTTATAAAGGCAAGTTACCAGCTAATGTCGGTCAGTGGTTCCCAAAGATATAATTCTGACTAACCTTT